TGCATCGGCAGGCGGACTCTCTACCACTGCGCCACCAGGGAAGCCCTGTCCTTATTTTTTTAAAGAGTCCTTATCTTTTCGGTAGAATGTATGGATGAAGTGTTAAATGACCAGTGAAAGGGAGAGGTAGGGAGGAGACCTAAAGATTGGCCGTGAGCCGTTAATTGGGACGTCGGGTGTTGGGTAAATGGGGGCTCGTTATACTATTCTGTAGAGTTTAAAAGTTTGAAGTTTTCCATAATAAATTTTTAAAATAAAATAAATGAAAAGGAAATATAAGTTATAACCACTCATGTTAACTGTAATGATTTTCAGGTGAAACAGATCTCAATGACGCAATAACAGAAGCAGGAAAGACCTACGAAGAAATTGCCAGTCTTGTGGCAGAACAGGTATTAACATAACCACATAATTCCAGTTAAGACTTTGTGCTACCTCATCCACATATTTAATTTAAAACCTCTTTTAAGACAGAGTTTCCAAATGGCTATTCTCTTCTATCCCTACGTATCTTTGTTAATGACATTGGCTAATAGTATTTCTTAGGCTAAGCTAAAGTGATGGATAAATTCATCATCATGAGACCTAAATACCTTCCAGTGTTGATGGTTTGAATCCATTCTCAGCCATGAGGGGATTAAAACGTACAGGAAAGCTTTGCTCAAGTCCCTGTTTGGACTCTTGCTCAGCCTGTCTGAGCCTTGGTTTCCTGGTCTGGTAAATGGCAGTGGTAGCACCTACCTGGAAAGGGTCTCAGGATCCAACAGCTAATAAAGAGAAAGCCCCTGGTGCAGTTCCCGGTGTGGAGCAGGTTTTTGTTATAGACACATGGCTTTCACTGGAGCTTTTAGTAGCCTGATTTCAATTATGTTCATCGATAACAGATAATAAGTTTCCTTAAGGGGAATAACCATCCAAGTTGTTTCAAATCCCTAAATTTAAAAACCTTTTTTTCATATGATGACTTGAAATATGTTTGTATGCACGTACATTCATGTGGTCATTAACTACTCTCCTGATACTTGTAACTTGTAACACTCAGTAACTTAATGTAGTGCCTTAATGTAGTGCCTGAATGTAGTGCCTGGTGTTATATCCTCAGGTATAACAGTTTTCTCTTCCTTGATTGTCTGAATTCCTCCGCCAATAATAACCAGTCTGTGTCTTGTTACAGCCAAAGAAAGATCTCCATTTCCTGATGGAATGTAATCATGAATATAAAGGTTTCCTTGGCTGCTTCCCTGACATTATTGGCGCTCACAAGGTAACTTGATCGTAGAAGTTCACAGACGACATCCCGGGTGAATCAGAACCCAGGCGCACCACCACCTGCGTGAGCCTGACCCTTCAGTGCCCCCCAGTCAGGAGCTGGTCTCTGAACCAGCTGGAACGGCTTGGAGTGTTTATAAATAGTGAGGTCCTAACACATTTAGATACATGGATAGTTTTTTAGTTTCTTTTATTCCGTAAAAAGATTATTTTGAGAGAACCTAAAGTATGATAAATACTCCTTTATGGATATACTTAGGTCAGGTATCAAGCATAATCATCGTGGTGTTTGGTATTCAAGTCAGTGTCAGGAATGGTACTTTCCCTCATCAGTGAGACCCTGTGTGCTGGGTGGGCAGGTCCTCAAAGGTCCTTTCCTGTCCAGATGAAGTAAGTTGTTCTGTCCCCAAGCCTGACGAAGGGTCTCCCAATTAAAATCAAAATGGTCAATATCAATTTTATATGTTTATATTAATAAAAAGGAAACTATTATAATTCCCATCATAAAGGTTTTTTTAAACTAAATGAAAGATTGGTTTGGGGTGTCCTCAGATTTTGATTCTTGTTAATTTGTCTCTCTCTTTCAAAATCTGTGTACTATTTCATTACTGTGGGTATTTTATCAACTGTAGTACTCTAGAGTATTGTGATATACTTGGCTTTATTACGAGCATCTCTACAAAGGCCCGGTCTGTGGTCCTAACAGTCCTGGCAAGTGGGCATTTCAGCATTTGGCTTTATAACTGAAGTATCATGAAGGGGTAGCATAGGAAGTAAGCTTTGTGCAGCTTCACATAGCTTAGTATAGAGCTCGGGAACATCTTCTTTATCCACTCATTCATCAATGGACGCTTAGGTTCTTCCCATTGTCTTGGCTACTGTGAGTAATGCTGCCATGACCATGGGAGTGCAAGATATCTCTTTGAGATAGTGATTTTGTTTTCTTTGGATATATGTACCCAGAAGTGGAGTTGCTGGGAAAGTAGATGTTAAAAATTCTCATCACAAGAAAAAAAAAAGTTTGTGACTCAGTGAGGTGACGGATGTTAACATACCACAGTAATCATTTTGCATTATAAATATGTATCAAATTCATTATGCTGTACATCTTAAACTAATACAATGTTATTTGTCAGTTATACTGCAGTAAAACTGGTGGCGGGGGGAAGGGGGGATGAAATAAATAAAATGAAAATGAAAATCTCAGGAAAAATCTGAGAACAGTTAGCATGTTGTAGGAGTTTGTGCCTGCCATCCGAGTTCTAGGTGGGGAGCCTGATTAATACTCTCCAGACAGTGCCAGCGAGCAGTGCGATGAGACTGGCGTGGGATATGTTTGGCAACTTTTACACTTGTTTCCGTCTAAGTATTAATTTAAAATTAATTCAGTGCCTCTTACAGAAATCACAGTAAAGCTTATGGTCAGCCCACTTAGGCACCAACTTATGAAATACTCTACTTTGTAAGAGAGACACAGTGCCCGGGTGCATATGCTAGACTCACCTGGATCGGATGACTTCCTGAACCTAGTGCCTGTTTTCCCATCGTGTACTACTCGTATCATGGCAGTGGCTTATACGTATTACAGAAAGAGAGCGCTGTTTAGTTTTCTGCTCTGTGGTAGCATGAAATTGTAGCTTTCAGCTAAGTTATATTTTGTAAGAATAGCAACATTTTTGTTTCCAAGTGACTTACAGGAAGTTACATATAGATGCTTACCTCATGTTCTTATTTTGTGGGACATTTTCCTATTCAGTAGCAAGTCAGTTATAGAATATGTTAGCTCTGTTATATTTTAAACTAATAATTGATCTTTTTAGATTTGTTTTATTAATACCACTGCATTTTGTATTTCACAGGGAGCAATAGAAAAAGTGAAAGAAAGTGATAAACTTGTTGCAACTAGTAAGATCACCCCACAGGACAAACAGAACATGGTGAAGCGTGTTGGGACAATGTCTTATTCTTTGCAAGGTAAGAAGGAAGGGTCTGTGGCTAACTAGTGGAGGTTTTTTTCTCAGCAAATTTTCTATCTTCCTTGCTGGAGAGAAACTCAAATGTGAACAGCAGTTAAATTAATAAGAACTGGGCTTCTCTGGTGGCGCAGTGGTTGAGAGTCCGCCTGCCGATGCAGGGGACGCGGGTTCGTGCCCCGGTCCGGGAGGATCCCACATGCCGCGGAGCGGCTGCGCCCGTGAGCCATGGCCGCTGGGCCTGCGCGTCCGGAGCCTGTGCTGTGCAACGGGAGAGGCCACAGCAGTGAGAGGCCCGCGTACCGCAAAAAAAAAAAAAAAATTAATAAGAACTGATTCAAAATATCTTCACAGGCCTGTTGTTTGCAGGATCCCAATGTTAAAGAAAAGCTGTAATATTTATTTACTTTTTCACGCATTTACGTGACATAACTATGAATGACAGCTTGATTAAACCTGTACATTTTTATTATTTCTTGGAGACCTTGAAGATTCCTTTCATAACCTTTAATATCAGCCCCTATCCAGATTAGATTCCAGCGTTCAGCTTTCAGCAGCATGTAACCTCCAGGCCCCGAGACCATAGAATGTGAAGGGAGTTTGAACATAGCATTTTTGGCATAGTTTGACTGTTAATAAAGAGAAAATATTAATGTTTTGAGTGTTTTCCAGCAGATAGGAGCAGTGAATAGATTTTTCCTCTTTTGGTGGATGGATAGAACATACATGGGCAAAGGAGGAAGGGGAAGGATGTTCCAGTATGAACAAAAGCACACAAAATAATGGTACCAGATTAGGTCATTGGCCTTTGGGAATGAAACACACTTGGAGAGTATTAGGAGAAAAATTCTGGTGATTGTGGAGGGCCTCAAAAGCCAGGCAGAAGAGTCTAGACTTGCTGTGGGCATTAAGAAGCCATTAAAAGGTTTTGATGGAAAAATGAAACAAACAAAAAAGCACTGCTCAAGGGAGAGGGTTTGCTAGTGACCGGGGCCGGGGGAGGGCGGGTGCAAATCGGGGGCTGACGTTAGTCGGACAGCCCGACCAGAGACCTGACTCCTGCCGTCTGAGATTTTGAGAACCCGAAAAAGATGAGGTGCTAGAGGAGAGAATGAAGGGTATTTGCGGGTTTTCTAAAGGACGTCCTTCAGGACTAGGGAAGGTGTGGGAGAAGGGAAGAATGTGTGAAAGGCATCCAGAAGTAAACAGGGAAGCCTGACTGAAGCTTTGGGCTTTGAAGGGTTTTAAAGGGGGAAGTTGGTTTTGAACTTGTGTTTGGGGTTATCCAAATAAATAAACGAGAGGCTTTGTACAACTTCAGATAACAACATAAAACTCAGAACAGTGAGCTTTTTGTAGGAATTTATGCAGGCGGTTGGCTTTGTAGGTGTGGAGTATAAGTAAGGGAAAAGGCGGGGTGCGGGGGGGTGGGCGATCAGGAGCCCTGATAAGGAGGCGTCTCCAGAGTTGGTGATGGGGTGAGGGTGCTCAGAGGCAAAGTTAGAGACGGGATTCATTTGCTGAATCGGTACATTCAGCAAACAGGAAGGATGGGCGTGTGACCCTCTGCCTGGAGAGAGCCTGAGTTCTGGCAGCCCTGGTGCTCAGCGGCACCAGGCTCCACTCTGAAGAGGGCCTTGCTCACGTCTCACTCCTCTGCCCAGCTTTTCAGAGTCCCTCAGGAGACCTGCCTGGGCAGTCTCTGTGCAGGAGGGGACATGGCAGCCAGCAGGTGCCTCACTGTGTCCACTGTAAACAGATTTGATGTTCTGAGCTGCAGCCATCTGTAGACGGTGAGACCAAGTCGGTTTCCTGCTCAAACAGTAGTTGCCGTTTGGGTGATTATCTGTGTTGGGCTTTATAGGATTTAATGAACGTGGCCGTCAACAGTAATTGTCCATCTACTGGCAAGCGTTTGCCATGAACTGTTCAAATTGTTTTTCTAGGCTCTTTCTAGCATTTTGTCAGGAACTGTCATGGGCCAACCGGATTAAATCGGTTGATGATTAATCATAACCAAGCAGAGACACCAGTTGTGGTTGTTTGAAGTCTGGGGGGCACTGACTGATGTCTTGGTTTTGGTTGTAGCTGAGATGAATCACTTCCACAGTAACCGGATCTATGACTACAACAGCGTCATCCGCCTGTACCTGGAGCAGCAGGTGCAGTTCTATGAGACGGTGAGTCGGCCCTGCTCCCAGGCCTCTGCACACGGGGAGGGCAGGGTTCCTGCTCACATACGTTGACCCTATGAAGTTAATCTGCTTGTATTTTTTAACCCTAACTAATAAACCAAAGGTGGCTAAATATTGGGCAGGGGTTTTTCCAATCTCTTTTAATCAAATCCACCTTTTCCTTTGAATAACACTGGGTTAAAAGGGGGGTTATTTTTTTAAGAAGAAGATTATTGGATGCTGGTTGTGAGGCCCCGAGAAGCCCTTATTGTGTGGTCCCTTTCCCTCCCTCCAGCGCCTCTGTGCACAGGGAACACTGTGAATGAGATGAGGTCACCCTGCCGTCCCTGCCGGCTCTCAGCTGGGGAAGGAGCCTGGCACCATGCAGGACAGCACAGACTGGCTTTGTTTGTGAGTGAGGTTTTTGCAGTGTACCAGAGGAATTTCAGAAAGAAAACGAAAACAAGAGGGAGGGTGAAACCTTAGATATTTTCACTCAGGAACCAGTAATGAAAATGTTAACTTTTGTACCTCTGCATAGCAATTTTCTTATTTGCCAGAGTGTACAGAAAACAAAGATCTAGCATGTATTGAACAAATGGAAACTCAAGACATCCGAAGACAAGTTCTGTAACTTACACAGTGACCACGTGTTGGCTGCCATGTTTCTTACTAAGTTTTCTACTGTTTCCATGGTGTTATCTCATGTATGTTCAGGGATAATGATAGGCAAGCCCCAGGCCCACGTCCACGCACGCGTCATCTTATCTTTGGGTGGACACTGCCGCACGTGTCTCTCCAACAGTCATTCTTGGAAGGGAGCTGTGGCTGATGTGCTCTGTGCATATTGTCTATTGCGTGTTGGAAACAGTTGGTTTCAGAGACGAGCTGAAGGTGCATCCTGTCTCCACACTGTGTAGCAGCAGCTGGGCCCTGTGGGGAGCCGCTCGTCTGCCAAGTCTCAGGAGTTCACAGGTGTCTGCGAGGGCAGGGGAGTCTGGGCCAGCATGGAGACCGGATCCCCCGGATCCCTGGAGGACAGGCGGATGGTCTAGGAACGATGCTGCACAGCATGGCAGCAGCTGCGCTGTGGGAAGGAAGGAGCGGGGCTTCCTGCAAGCTGGGCACCACCGCGACTGGGGTTTAGGAAGGCTTCTCCACTGCCCGGAGGCTGGGTTGGTGCTGGAGAGACTAAGAGCATCAACCAGTTCAAGGCTTTGAAACTTTTGCCATGTTTACCTCAGAAGACGTGGAAATAATAGAGTGCCATGAGGTCACGGTGGGAGATGTCTCACGGTTGTTCTGTTTTTCACCAGATTGCGGAAAAGCTGAGGCAGGCCCTCGGTCGCTTCCCGGTGATGTAGGACAGAACAAACGTGAAGAAACGCCGAAGTGCTTCCTTCTGACTTGGGGCAACGCAATTTAATTTTCTCCCTCCATCATCCAAAAAGAAAAAGAAAGAAAGAAAGAGAAAACCAAAAAGAAATAGAGTTGGAAAAAACTACATTTCCTTTATTAAGCGCCTAAATGCATCAGTTCTTTAGGGATAGTCTTTTGTTCATTTCCACATCCATTATTTAAACCAATGGAAGGAAATTGTCTATTTTGGGAAAGTACTTAAAGTTGTCAGAATTTTGAATGGAAAATTAGGGGTTTCCCCCACTGATATTTTACATAAAAATGTAATTTATGAGTCACCCACGATCTTCCAGTTCTTACCCAATGTCAGATAATTACTAATTGCTTTCTTAAAAGTATGAAATATGCCAGAATAAAAAATATATATGTTTGTATATTTTTATAACTCTTTTCAGCCCTTTGGGATTCCTGTCTATTTAGGAAGATCTACATGCCTTTCGCTGAGATATTTATGACTCAAGTGCTTACATTTCCTGGAGAGAGAAAGCAAAGAGGGGCTCCCGGGGCTGCGGCCCCTCATGTGCCGGTGACGCACGTGTCCCTTCAGAGGACAAAGCTTGGCCGAACCCCAGAATCAGAGCCCCTGCGCCCACTACCCTAAAGTGCCGTCTGCTGGGAGGAGCGCCTCCCTCCTCAGGCTTCTTCCCAAGCCCCGGTAAGGCTGGAAGAATTCACCGAGAAGGCTGGGGACACCCTCTGCCTCTGCTCCCGGGGAAGGAGCGGCCGTGCTGACCCTGCGCCCGGGAGGGCTGGCCCTGTGGGCAGACGTACCTCCCGAGCTTTCCACTCGTTTTTAAGTCTCGAGGTGTTCAGTGAGACCTCGTGAAAAATGCCAGGGAAAGCGAGATTTGCCACTTGATCTGATTTAGACTAGCGGGCCAGTGGGAATTATCTGAGAAGATAAAGCACAGGTTAGCAAACCTCTCCCGGCCCCCCAAATGGAAGGAGTTTAGGGGCTGAGGAGGGTGGCAGCCCACATAATGTGCGGTCATCCCGAGCTTTTACGTTTGAGAAAAAGCACAGAGCGATGTTATTCCCGACTGTACCCTAAACTTCAGACAGAATTTTCCTGATCACTGGTACTTCCCTTAATGGCATAAAGCCAAACAGGATCTTTGCAAAGCGTCAGCTTTAAATCTGGACACTCGCAGACACGGTCTCACTCCTGCAGATGTCGGCGTCCTGCACAGCTGCCTTACTGCATCCTCTCCCCCTGCTTTCACTCTCCTGACCTGATAGTTACATGATAGAAAATGGAAATTTTGGGCCAGCACAAATAAAGTGAAACCAAAAAATAAATACCAGAGGAAATCAAATGAACAGGAACATGAGAACTTCTTGTTCTTCAATATCACGGGTTTTTTGTTAATGTTTTATAAGAAATTTTCCCTACTTGATTTTTCTTTTATAAAATCTCAGAACAGTGTTTATGTTACAGCCATTTAATGTATGTACAAATTGTAAAGAATATGTATAAATGTTTTACACAAATGTAAGAGCATGTAGAAGCCAGCATATAAATAAATTGTTAAAAAAAAACTGTACAGTAAATTCTCAAGCACCTTTTCAAAACACTTTTTGGTGTTTTCGTGTGATTTTTTTTTTTTTTTTTTTTTTTTACTTGATAATTGTTTCTCGTTGCCGGCTGCTGAAAAGAGTGCAGGCAATGAGTTTTGCCCTAAGACTTGTTGCTCTTGACATGAATTAATAATGCTAGTTCCTTAAATCAGAGTTATCAACCTGGGAAGCATGTCACAGTCACCTGGAGAGCAGTAAGAACACTGCTTACTGCTGCCCAGTGTGTTAGGGTTCTCTAGAGACACAGCACCTACGGGGGGTGTGTATTCATTCTTTACGTGAGGTTTACTTCTCTTGATACTCCATATCTTAATTCTGTGGTGTAAATTCCGTCACCTTGTCCTTCAGGGGTGTCCAGGGAGGGGCTGTGGCTCCGCACCTGTCCAGTGGGGGGCGGTATCCGCACATCGGAAGTCTTAGCTTCCCCGGCACTCATCGCGGGGAGCCCCCCGTGGGGCCGTAGGTGCCGGCTGGGAGGAGAAGGCAGTGCCGCGGGAGTGGGGGCCACGGCATTCGGCCACTTCCTCGTGTGACTTGAGCCTTCAGGGCCTTTAGCTATCACAGAAGAGCTTTAATTATAGAATAATTTATAATTTTTATAAATCTTGAAAATGTAAAACTAGTAGATAAATGTCTGGAGAGGAGAGGTAAAGGCATGGTGGAGCAAAAGGTCAGTCCACTTGTCGATCGTGTGACACTGGTTGCCCATCCCCAGAAGCACCAGGTCCAGGACGTGAACCCCTGTAAGGTTTGCAGGTGTTGAGGTCACCAAGAAACACACAACTCACACAGGCTCTGGATGGAATGTAAAGAAGAGACAGAGTAAGACCAGCCTCAGTAATGAGCGTTGGTCCCCATGACCAGTGGGAGATGGTCTGTACCCACCCCTCTACTGCAGCAGGTGACGGACTCCAACCCTCCTCACTGGGAACAGCTGGAGCAGTGGGACTGGCCAGGCGATTAAGCAGAACAAGAAGCACACGTCAAGCCCGGAACAGGGTGCGATATTCCTGAGTAAAGAGATAGGCTTGCCCAGGCTATGAGGGCTCTTTATCTCCATGTATGGAGATGTTCCAGGCTCACTCTCTCGTGACCATGCAGGAGTGGGAAGACTGTGCCCGGGAGACTCTGCCTTTCCCCGCACTCCTGTCCGCATCCGCAGTGGAGGAACTCAAGAGAGCCCGTCTTAAAGCTTGGGAATCCAAACTATGAATGTCCATTATTTAAAGTAGTAAAAGCACTCAAGTAACTATGTTCATGGCTGAGTAATTGCTGAGTGGAACTAATGACAATAATGAGGGAGGAGGGTACTTTTTTCCTATGTGTGTTTCTTAATTTTTTTCAGCCTGTTTGATTTAAAATCCTTTTCTCCAAGAAAGTAAGAAGAATTTGAGTTCCTTTCCCAAGGTTCTCTTGCTCTCCGGCTGGCTTTGCCAGCTATGCCAAGAATGCAGAGTCCTCACTGCTTTTTACCCAGGCTGATTGTCAGCACTGTTTGCAGTGAACAGCCTTGGTGGATGAGGTAAAGGTCTTCTAGGAAGAAGAGCAGGTGTTCTTACTGCTTGCTATAAAATGCGGGTTTCCCAAGCTCCAGGTTCCTTTCCACAAGAAGGCATCCCTCGGGCGCCCCCTAGTTGCCCCTGATGGACTTGCAAGGCAGGGAGGAGAGAAGCAGCCTGTGAGCAGAAGCTCCTCGGCCGGCTGTGCCTCTGGAAATTGAGTTACCCATTGTCTCTGACTCAGGGGTTTCATTCTGCTGCGGGCATCCATGAAACAGCAACAGACTAACTAATTTGCTTGTAAATAGAACAAAATCAAATCCCAGACCCAGCAGTTACTTCTGTAAGAAAACTTTTTTTTTTAATTTATTGAAGTATACTTGATTTACAATGTGTTAATTTCTGCTGTACAGCAAAGTGATCCAGTTATACATATATACATTCTTTTTCATATTCTTTTCCATTATGGTTTATCACAGGATATTGAATATAGTTCCCTGTGCTGTACAGTAGGACCTTGTTGTTTGTATATTTTATATACAGTAGTTTGCATCTGCTAACCCCAAACCCCCAGTCCATCCCTCCCGCACCCACCTCCCCCTTGGCAACCACAAGTCTGTTCTCTATGTGAGTCTGTTTCTGTTCTGTAGATAAATTCATTTGTGTCATATTTTAGATTCCACATATAAATGATATCATATGGTATTTGTTTTTCTGACTTACTTAGTATGATCATCTCTAGGTCCATCCATGTTGCTGCAAATGGCATTATTTCATTCTTTTTTATGGCTGAGTAGTATTCCATTGTATATATGTACCACATCTTCTTTATCCGTTCATCTGTCATTGGACATTTAGGTTGTTTCCATGTCCTGGCTATTGTAAATAGTGCTGCTATGAACATAGGGGTGCATATATCTTTTTGAATTATAGTGTTGTCCGGATATAAGCATAGGAGTGGGATTGCTGGATCATAGGACAACTCTATGTTTAGTTTTTGAGAAACCTCCATACTGTTTTCCATAGTGGCTGCACCAATGTAAGACATTTTTAAAAACAATAAGAAACCCAATCAAAAAATGGGCAAAAGACCTAAACAGACATTCCTCCAAAGAAGACATGTAGATGGCCAAGAGGCACATGAAAAGATGTTCATCATCGCTAATTATTAGAGAAATGCAAATCAGAACTACAATGAGGTATCACCTCACACTGGTCAGAATGGCCATCATTAAGAAGTCTACAAATAACAAATGCTGGAGAGGGTATGGAGAAAAGGGAACCCTCCTACACTGTTGGTGGGAATGTAAATTGGTGCAGTTGGGAACAAACTAAAGTTTTAGCAAAGCAGAAGGAGATTTTTTTCCCCAGCTTTATTTAGCTATAATTGACATATAACCTTGTGTGAGCTTAAGGTGTACAACATCATGATTTGATACGTGTATATATTTGCAAATGATTGCCAAGCTTAGTAAGGTTAGTGAACACATCGATCACCTCACATAGTTATACTTTTGTGTGTGTGAGGTGAGAAGTTTTAAGATCCTCTTATATAGCTTTCATATATATAACAGTATTTTAACTGTACCCATTCTGTATGAATGCTGTTGACAATTCAAAGGCCAACAGTGGGCGAGGTCCAAAGGCCACTCTGGACCTCTGTGGAGATTTTTTAGCTTCTGAGTCAAGTTCAAAGTTCTTTAGGTGGGAATACACATCCATATCTTAAGCCAAAAAAAAAGTTATAAAGTTCAATTAAGCAATCAGTTTGTAGGATTTTCAGAACTCTTTGAGGGGGGAGAGACAGAGAAATGTGTGTACCATGAACCAGGAACCTGGGCCATGCACGAACAACTGATTTTAAGTTTGAAGCACTGGTGTTTTTGGTTTTGGGGTTTTTTTAATGGTGAGGGCTTCTCACCTGGCTCATGTCTGGGAGCTGCCCTGTAGAGGGGGTGCCTGGAGCAAAGTTGGGGAGGCCCAGGGGGTGGGGTTGGTGGTGAGTCATCAGTTCCAGAGAAAAGCCACTGACATAACTGAAAATGATGTTGGTTCACCAGA